AGCCACACGACAGGCCCAAAGGGACTGGGAGTAGTCTACGTGTCTACTCCTCCACACAGACCACTGCAACACACAAAGCCGACACGACCCTCGACAAACACATTTCTCATTACCGAGAAGTGCTGTCCAACAAGCAGCCAGCCAGCCACAGTCTGCATGCAGACTACACCCACCTGCTTCACTGGGCATTGTGCACAATCATATTTTAGTCTAATTACCAGTGAAATATAATGCAGAGGTCAGAGTGTACCCACCTTCCTCAGTGGAGCTGAATTCTTGTTAACCACAAATCAGCAGCAACCATTTTAATCACAGTACAGTTGCCATGGGACCATCGTCCCCAGAAAGCAGATTCAGAGAAACTTTACTACTGTATCCCTGTAACATGCAACTTCATCATGTTATAAAAATACATTTGTGCAAATCAACTGGATTTTCCTCAGTAGCAGCAGCAGTAAGCAGGGTATTGTTGTGAATTTTTACACTTTTTTAGAAACTCTAATCTCTCCTAATCCTCTTTTTAGATCTTGTTTTATGAATTTATAAATAGTTTGCACTAAGATCGACCTTAGCACAGACTATTTGTCCCCAGTTCACCAGCTTTCTACAATGTGCAAAACTCAGGCAATCACACTCTAATCATCAGGGAAGTGAACACAGATCAACAATGGAATTAGCCTTCCTCCACAACTGTTGAATTGCAAGGGCTCTAATTAATTATTGCCAAGTGTGAAGTGGCCAAAAGAAAACAATAGCTGCTGGCTTGCTTTGTTGGAAGAGGCCAAAATAGCTGGAGAAAAGTATTTCCACTGCAGACCACAATGAAGGCAGGATAAACAGCCTGAGAAGAAGTGGCAACTGTTCACTTTCCCCCACACGAGCCAACTCTGCTTGAAATGTGAATTTACTGTGAGGAGGCAAAAAATGAGCAGCATTATGGGTATCGTTGCACCAGATCAAAGCCAGACAACAACATGATGAGTCTCATCCTTGAGAAGCTGGGGATTTGTTCAAAGAAGGGCGGCAGTCGAGAAGGAGCGAGGGAGACGAGTGTAGGTATGCAAAGGAAGGGGGAAAAGAAAAAAAAACATGGAGAACCTGCTGACTCACTGTAATCATCGGGCTGAGGCTCGCTGAGCTGCTGCTGCTCAGGGTAAAGCTTGCTGCCTCCCCTTCAGAAGGACAAAGCGATGCTTCCCATCAACTGTGAAGGGCTATATGACTGAAGGTGGGGAAATAGAATGGTGAAATAAAACTGTCTGACAGCATGAAATAGCTCCTCTTTCTCTCCTCTTACATCCCAGTGCAGAGAGAATGATGCAATCTGAGGAAGGCAATAAATCGCCCATAGCTGTGTGAGTAAAAACCAAAGCTAAAAATAAAGCTCTGATCAGACAGACGGAAACAGGATTGCAACTGGCTTGGGGAGAGACCCTCCATAGAAGGAGGAACTACAAATAACTGCGGACAGTGAAGCCTGGAAACCCCGGCCGCACGATTAAAGATCACGCAGTGAAACAATATGATGTTCAAGTCTGCACCATAACAAGATTTAGACAGGACTGCAGTGCATGCAGCTTTCTGATGAGGCTTAATTCAATACCCAGAAAACAAAAGCAAGCAGCCACTGTGATTACTGTTGCTGGATCCAGCTGCGGTACTGTTGTGTTATCCACTTTTGGTTATTCCAAAAAAAGCTGATAAAAGAGCATGTAAAACAGAGATTTAGGTCTAAGATTAGGCCTCTGTGCATATCCCGTAAACAAACACAAAGCTGCAGTGCGCTGTGCCATTGTAGTACTGCAATTACAGCTGTATCAGCCAGCAGTCAATAACACAGTGCTGCTCATCAGCTATCAGGTATCAAGTGGGTAAACAATGTTTGATTTGCATACGGAAAGTTGTCAGTATTCATTTTAACACAGAAATGTTTAAGTAACCAAGTCAGCTGCCAAACACCTCAACATGCTCTTGTAGATGAATGTCAGTTTACTCGGCCATGATAACAGCTATGTAATGTCATCTGTGGCTCTGGAGAAGCTTTCTACAGTCTGAAAATATTTTACCATTCTTTTTTTATCAGTCTCTCACACATCACTCAAGTATGGTTTTGTAACAGCAAATCACTCGAGTATCCCTTTAAGAGCTCACTCTTGGTTTATTTGGCAAGCCCTGTGTTTACTGGTGGTAACAGCAGCAACAGAAGTGTTTCAAAAAACGGGTTCTTTTCAAAATGGAAAAATGGAGGTTAAGAGGATTCATTATGTTGCATCCTTTTAATAAAGACTAAAAGAAGACAACCCTGTCGTATGGCAAATCTGAACTCATGATCGTATGACGTCTTGCAGACTACGCACATGCACCAGTTTTGTCTTCTGTATCACATCTACTACATGGCATGCATTGTTTCCTGTGAATCCCTTTTGTCTTCATGCAATTTGAATGCTGCACAGGTAAGGCGGACTCCGCCATTATTAGCGAGGCAACAACAGAATGCAAACACAATAAATGGTTATTGCTGTAAATATAAATAGTATCAAATGATTTACTGACGATGCTATGGATTAAAAATGGAGGGTTAAAACTGGACTTTAGTTAAGGTCAGGGAAAGGGTGGTGTTAGACATGTAGCTGTAATGGATACAGTTAGGGTTAAGAACTAGGTTGGTGTCAATAAGAACTCAAAAAGTACAAATGCTTGTGTCTCTGTGTATGCATGTGTAATTGGTCACTGAAATTCAGCAGGCAGGAAGAGACATGACCACACTCACCAAACTACAAAAACAGGTCAAAGAACACTGAGCTGAGCCAACAGCAATGATAGTCAAGTGCAGGAGAGACACACACACACACACATACATACACACACACACACACACGACCTGGTGGTAACATCAAGGTGACTCCACACTATTATGCAGCATTCCACGCCTGTGCCAAGAGCTAGGAAATACACAAAATAAACGATGACTCAAGTAAGATGGCCACCTGAAAATATCCATCCTTGGTGATAGTGTTTCATACAGAGGAGCTGCTATAACTGCTCTTTTCTTCCAACAGAGAAGTCAATAAGAAATGCTTGAGTTAACTTGCAAGTGCAAGGAATGATTGCCTCCAATGAGACACAGAAGAGAGGAGGGCTGCTTCAGCCTCACTGGATGCCTCATACATGCTCATTTGAATTGCAAATGGAGGTAGGCAGCATGCTGGGCTGTGAAATCCCAGCAGCACCCTTGGGCATCTCAACTCACGCACAAACACCAACATGTACACACTACAGTAGTAGCGAGACTTTGTGCTCACACGCTAGGGTGAAAGGAAAAAGACACACAGAATCTTTTAGTTTGGTTTACTTCAGATGTGTCTGAACTCATCACAAATTCATGCCGAGGCACTGATGAGCAAACAGTAGAGGTGCTGGTGCTGAGATGAGGTAATGGCTCCCTGGCAGTTAAGG